CCATAGTCATAATAACAGCATGGTACTGCTGCAAAAAAAAAAAAAAAACAGACACATAAATCAATGGAGTATATTTAAGATCCAAACCCAAGTACACACAATTTCAGCCACCTGATATTTGACAAAGGTGCCAAGAACACACAATGGAGGAAAGACAGCATCTTCAACAAATGGTCCTAGCAAAACTGGATCTACAACTGTAGAAGAATGAAACTATATCCTTATATTTCGCCTTGCACAAAAGTCAACTCCAAATGGATCAAAGACCTCAATGTGAAACTGGAAACCCTGAAACTATTAGAAGAAAATATTTGCAGTAACTTACAAGATATAGGTGTATGAAAGGATTTTCTAAATTGGACAGAAGTTGCTCAGAAATAAAGGTCAGCAATCAATAAGTGGGACCTCATTAAACTAAAACTTCTGTAGAGCAAAAGAAACAATAAAAAAGTGAACAGAAAAACTCACAGAATGGGAAAAAAATCACCAGTGACACATCTGACAGGGATTTAACATCCAAAATATATAAAGAACTCAAAAAACAGAATCGAGAAACCAAATGACCCAATTAAAAGATGGGCTAAAGATCTAAACAGAGCGTTCTCAAAGGAAGAAATAAAGATGTCTAAGAAACATTCCAAAAGTGTTTAACATCGTTAGTAATTAGGGAAAGGAAAATTAAAACCACCCAAAGGTATCACCTTACCCCAATCAGACTGGCTAGAGTCAAGACAACAAATGATACCAAATGCTGGCAAGGTTGTGGAGAGAGGGGAATGCTCATTCACTGCTGGTGGGATTGCAAACTCGTGCAACCATTATGGAAAACAGTGTGGAGAACTCTTAAAAAACTGAAAATTAACCTACTGTATGACCCAGTTATAGCACTCCTTGGCATATACCCAAAGGACTCATCCTATTGTAGAGACACTTGTACAACCATGTTTGTTGCTGCTCTTTCACAATAGCTAAGAGATGGAAGCAACCTAAGTGCACCTCAACTGAGAAGTGGTTAACAAAAATGTGGTATATTTACATAATGGAGTTCAATTAAGCAGTAGAGAAAGATGAAATAATAAAATTTGCAGGTAAATGGATGGATCTAGAAACTGTTATATTAAGTTAACATCTGTTAACATCTGTTACACAGACTCAGAGAAACAAATGTATGTTCTCCCTCATATGTGGATCCTAGCACCAAATCTCTTAAAATTCCAGGTCATTTTAATAAGATGATGCTATACAGCATTCTTCTGCATGAAATAACTACCATCATCATGACCTCAGCTGAACCTGATCACTAAACATCGTCACAATTTGGCTTGTTGATGGTTGTGCTCATTCATTAAAGAAGGGCCAAGCAGGGTCATTGGACCCTCACTGAAGTATCCAGCCACTCTTCCCAGCCAACTGTATGTAATTTGACCCTAATCAAACATTACCTCCTGAATTTGGGGAGGGATAAAGTATACAATCTGGGGAAGGCTAGGAAGAGAAGGCATGACCCATGCTGGGTAAAGGCTATCCAGTGTTTAGAAAAAATCATGCTTAATTTCATATGGAAGCACAAAAGACCCTGGAGTTGCCAAAGCAACTCTGAGAACAAAGAGCAATACTGAAGGGATTACTATATCAGATCTCAAAGCATGCTACAGAGGTATAGACATAAAAACAACATGGTACTAGCACAAAAAACAATATGGGAATGGAGATATTTTCCAAAATAGAAAAAATAAGAAAGCCTAAGCAAGTGATGAAGGTCTGTTTATGTTTGTAATATATAAAGGATGAGACAAAAATAATGTACTCATAATCTGAAATTTTCTGTGGTCATAGTTTAGTCAACTAGGTCAAGGAACAAAATATATATGTAGTCAAGGTTTGTCTGAGAATGTTTTTATAACCAAGCCGTATCTACATAGCACATGATAATTAAAAGTATCAGACTGGTGGAACTAACCTTATTGGATGTTTAATAGCCATAGTTTGAGGCCTATACTAATGTGGTCAGAGGGAATTAAAGGACAGTTTTTGCCCTTTGCCCCCCAAGGTTGACTAAGTTCAGGGGACTATGGAACATCTCTCAAAATGTCCTGTAGCAGTGGTAAGTCACCTGTCCTCTTGTTCTGGGAGGACTATGGAGACCCCATAAGATGGACTTGAACCAGTGTCCAGTCTACAAAAAGGAGGGTCAACTCAGAGGAAACACTTCATTCATGCTTCCAAGTGAAGCCAGACATGGTGGAGCATGACCTTTGTCTTATCATCACATAGATGGAACTGGTAAAAGGAAGGAGCCAGGAGCTCCTCCCAAGCCCATGTGACCCCTGAGGAACAGATCCTCAAATGACCTTAAGTGTAAAAAGAAATTGACTTATTTGGTCCAACTGTATGGTCTTAAATACCCAAAAGGAAAGTATAACCAAAGAGTAAAGTCATCAGTATACTTCTTTAAGAGTTCAAGGGTTTACACTTCCCAGACAGGCTTAAGTCTATATAAAATGTTATTTAGACAATTGTTTCTCATTGATGATTTTGTTCCTAACCAGAAAGTGCTGCTCAGATTAAGACTTCAAATCTTGGTCTCCAGTACTGTAGTGCACACCTGTAGCTAAGGGAGACAATCAGCTGTTGTTCTAAAATGATGAATAAATTTGTTTTCTCCCCCTACCTAGAAGCCTTTGAGAGGGAACTGACACTGATTCTAACCACTCCAACAGCTGTCAAAATACTTGAAAGCAAATCCTGAATCCATCACTCTCAAGTCCAGCCTTGGCAGACAAAAGAAAAATGAGGAGGAACCCAATAGAGGGATGCTTTTGGGAGCCCTTGTCACGAAACCCCAATGGACTCTCATATGAACATTTGAAAATTGCCCTGTTCTGACTTTTTTCTAGTTCCCTGTCTAGAACTTACAATGCTAATTACTCTTGCCTTTACTTCGCCTTCACATCTCCTATTCATGATTCAAGGATTTTCTTTTCCCCTTAGAGACAAGAGTTATGCAATTTTGGAGTCTTTTAGATAAATCCACGGAGGGAGTACTCCAATTGCCTCACTCTGCATCCGTGTTCAGCATGGAAGAAGCCAGAGTGGCCTGTGTCCCTATTCCCTATTGGCACTTTGAGTAACCCCTTCAGAGGATGGTCTGATAAGAATAGGAGGTACGAATTGGCTAGACAGAGTAAAAAGACCCCAAAGAAAAGTAGCCACTTTCTGGGCTAAAAGTTGAAATGTCCTTGGGCCTGTTAGCAACATACTCTGTTCCAAAGGCCAAAAAGGTCAAAAGTAATTGGGAGCTTGTATCTAATCCTTAAAAGATTTTAGGGTTACCTCTTCAGAGGGGGGAATGTTAGAGTAGCCAAAAGCTCCATAAAAAGAAATAAATTAAAGAAGAAGAAAAAGAAAAAAGTGATGAGGAGATATGGGAGGTGTTGGAGGGGAGGGAGTGGGCATGGATTTGATCAAACCACCTTATACGCACGTATGAAATTCTCAATAAAGTTTTTCTTAAAGTTAAAAAAAAGAAAAAGAATATAACAGTGGTCATAAACTGGGGGAACTTACAAGGTCTGTTTGTGCAGATTTTGCCTGGTTTTTCTCTCTACTATGAGTGGTTAGTTTTTATAATTTTTTCATGGTTAAAGTGCTTAAGTCTTTGCTTGACCTCAACAGTAAAATATCATATTTTAAAAGTTTTCATTGGTCGATCTACCCTTCAGTTTTCCCAATAGTTAACTCATGTTCCAATGCTATTTACTCAGCACCAATCCCTTAATAATTGTTTCTTTTCTTGACAAATACTGAAGGAAAATTTGGTTTTATAGCTTAAATTATAAATATAGAAAAATAATGTAAATTGCATTTCCATGTCTTTCAATATGAAGATACTTTAAATAAACAAATTATAGCCACCTATAATAAAACATTTATGGGAAAACCAAATCATCTGACTTCCAACATTTCTTCACTGCATATTTGTGATTTAAATAAAGGAATTAGAAAGATATGTAGTTATAAGATTCTTTTAACTTTGAGTGACTTTGAGTTTAAAAGAAGGATGCTGACTTCAAAACCAGATTGTTAAAATGCCTGAGAAACAATAGTTTTAAAGAATACTAATATATGAAATTCATTTATTTTGTTTATTTTTCCTATTCACGGATTGACTTTCATTCCAATGTGTGAATGCTGAGGGTCTGCTTAGGACGTTGTCTGGAGGACACATGGTGTGTGTTGATAGAGTAGCAATAAATGGAAAGGCTCGAGGTAGGAAAGTTTGAAGCTGAAGCTTTGGAGACTAATTTGACTACTGAACTCTGGTTCTAGTTGAGCAGTAGATACAAGTGCAGATAAGAAGATGACAGAGTGAGAAGGGAAGTCCAGGAAAGAGCGGACTAGAAGGGACATCCAGGGAAGAGTGGATGAGACCACAGCCTGGAGCTGGTTTAATCTGGCCTTTCCTAGGGAGATAAGATGATGGCTACGCCAGTCTAGTCAGCAGGAACACATTTCTTCCTCTTTGGGAGAACGTGGTAGTGATTTATGTCTAAGCAGGAGCTAAAACAGCACAGACAGATGCTTTAGGAGGCAGAAGATACAGATATGATCAGGGGATCATTCACAGTCACTTTCTGGAACCTTCTTTGCTGACTCTGTACCTGCTTTCTATACCTGGATTTCGTATGAATATTCACAAGGAAGACTCATGTCAAAGGGGAGTTCCTTTCCTGTCACTACATGTGTTAGTGAATTGCTTTGTGTATTCTGAAAAGACGACTTCAGAATAATGGAGAGAAAATTAGTCAGTGCCATGAACTTTAACAATGAAAACAACTGTGGGGCATATGACACACGCCTTTAATCCCAGCTCTCAGGAGGCAGAGACAAGCAAATCTCTGTGAGGTCAAGTCCAGCCTGGTCTACATAGCCAGTTCCAGGCCAGCTGGGGATAAAGGGAAACCCTGTTTTAAAAAAACAAAACAAAACAAAAACAAAAATAAAGAATGAAAACTTATTTTAATATCAGAGTAACAAATACTTAAGAATCCTTATGATACGCAGTGAACACTTTTCTCATGTTGGGTTTGGATGTTGCCCCATTCTTGCTCCTCTTCATTTGAGCGTTCTGTGTTCATTTTTATTAGTCCAAAGGAGTTATTTCTGGCATTTCACAAATCCAAGGCATATTGAAGAAACAGGGCACATCATTCCAATTCCGCATCGGATTTGAAGAGTCTCTTATGGTGGCGCAGTCCTCCACCAGAACAATGTTGTTGGGCTCCCCTTCATCCCAGAAGCTAACAAAGGGAAATACAGGAGATTTTACATTCCGGCATGAGGAGAGAAAGTGACTTAATATATGAAGCAAATTATAAATGTGTTATTTAACTTTATCATTTTGTGAGGTAGGGATTTTAATCTCTATTTTATCCAGGAAGAAAAGCAAATCCTCTTGTCTTTGTCATCAGCTTTGTTGAGGACCTTTCTGGATTTCTATTCTGTCATCCATCTCCATGGATTCATCCATTTTCATGACTCAAAATGAGAAGTCACGGTAGGGTTGACGACACTATGGGTTTGTTTCCTCTGCACCCACCTCATGTTGCGTGTGCTTGCTTTGTTCTGTTGGTGTTCGTGTTTCCTTAGTGCGTCCTTCAGTGTTACAGTGCTGCGGTTTTCTAGCATTTGGGACAGCCAAGCACCACACTCAGAGTTGCTGTGAACTAGCTGAGTGAGTCGTTCACTCCCTGACATTTACTTTCTTCAAATGTTGAATAAGATGAGCAACACTGATCTATCTCAGAAATGTGTAATTGCCATAAATGTACTGTTCGAATGAGGCAAGGCCATTACTAAGAGGAGAGGGGGCTTCAGGGTACGAATACACTGTCTCAAATTACCATTTTTCTCATTAACTTCTGTTTTAGGGCATAAGACTCAATTTTACTCTTTTTTTGATCTGCGTTATAAGTAAATGATTCTTCTATTTTCATTCTCTCTCTCTCTCTCTCTCTCTCTCTCTTTTCCCCCCTTCCTCCTTCTCCCCTCTCTCTTTTAAGACAGGGTCTCTCTGTAGCCCCCGATGGCCTGGAACTTGCTATGTAGACCAGGCTGGCTCCGATCTCACATCCACCTGCTTTTGCCTCCTAAGCACTGGGATAAAAGGTGTGTGCCACCATATCCAACTCGCCCTTTTCATCTTAATCTATTATTTCTCTTTTTTTCTTGTGATAGGCCTAGGAAATGAGAGAGACAGGAGCTTGTACTTCTTACTTCCTTCTTCCTGTATCTAACATCAACAATGCTAGGCCTGAGCACCTCACTGTAACAAAAGCAACTTCAGAGAGTTCCCCCAACATGGTCTTACTTTAGGGTTATAACAATGTGACAATCTTCCTGTAATATGGTACATACCTGAGAGACTCTGTGAAAGGTGTGTCATCCACCCATTGCCACTGACCCTCAGTCACCTGGTCTGTCAGTCCAATATAAAATTCTTTCTTTTTAGGTTTTGTATGAAAAAGAAATTCCTATAGAAGATATATAATAATAAAAAGAGGAAATTATTTCAGTTCTGAAGAGATGTTGAATATAATTCATTTTAAAAGATCTATCTATCTATCTATCTATCTATCTATCTATCATCTAATCATCTATCTATCATCTATCTATCTATCATCTATCTATCAATCATCTCTATCTATCTATCTATCATCTGTCTATCTATTTGAGAAAGGATATAGAAAGAGTAGAATTAGACCCTTTGGTGTGGGTCAACCTACCAAGAGTCTACCCTTAAACTAGATTGACTCTCGCCTCATATGTGTGTGTGGGGGGGGGTGAAATATGTGTATAATAGAGTACATAAAATTGGGTGAGAAGTACTGGGTGGGTGTGCAGATGGGGGAGGGACTCTAAATGCAATAAAATATATTGAATGATAATTACAAAAACTCAACAAAAATGAAAATAGATCAAGACTAGACATGGTACATAAACATGCCTCAAATTGTAAGGTCACCGAAGATCATCTACTAATTTCTTTATTATGGAAAAATTGGAGTACCACAATTGAATAAAGAGCTCCTTCACCTTCAATAGGAGATTCTCAGTAATTCATTCAAAATTTGTCTATTTTAATAGCAGTCATATCCAATGTATTTATCTAGCACAAAAATTATTAAGTGCAGCTAGAAACAATGCACAGACACTGTTTATTCTCATTCATATGACATGTTCATAAACAAAGTGTTAGTTAATTCCTAATCTCGTCCAATTAATATTGGAACTCCGTATAACAATCAGCTTTTTCAAGGTTCCTCTAGTAATGAATACGAATTAAGTCATGACACACAAATAGTAGGAGCAGCATACATTTCAGTGTGTTCATTTAACAAAGAGTTGTGGCTCAGACATTATGCACAGCTATGCAGAAAGGTTGGATCTTAGGAAGATCATCACAGCGTTGAGGAGCATGTACCCCAATTACCTGTTCCTCCTTTGTGTTGATGACTACCAGATGAGCCCCCATGCTTGAACAGTTTTTTAAACTCAATATCCACGTCATCGTGGTCATAGAGAAAAAGTAACAGCTAGATTGAAAATGTTCCCAGTTCACAGGACAGCAATTTTTGACTGAACCTAGGGGAAGAAGTGTTCCGTGAATGCCAGCAAATTTTTCTTCTGATCCTGTGGAGTCCAACATGAACAGGCCAAAACCATAGAACCTTATTTACATCCTGTATCTTGCTCTCTAAGACTTTTAGATAATTCCAATGTCAATAAACATAAGCATCCATTTTCTTCTTTTTTGAACAACATCTTTATTTTCTAGATGTCAGTACCAGTAAGCATAATGTTATGCATAGTTTATCTCAGTTATATAATTGATATAGAACTCAATTTTCTGTTCTTACATTGACAAGGTCAGAAAATTATGAATTTTCTCTGAGTGACTTCCAAGCCAACATCTCTTAGTGTCTAAACAATATAGTCTTACCAATCCTCTAAAAGGGGATAAATTTCTTAGCATTGTAGAATTTTAATCCTTGAAGTTTATTAAACATAAATTGTTCCCTTGATTTGATAGCAAGGAACCTGTAGCTAAAAGAAGCAATTCACTTTCTCAGCGCTGAGTAGCATTTTGCTAAGTCTTGGGCTATGATATTATATAAGAACTTTCGGAGAATTTTTCTTAGGTATTTTAAAATTCTCCATACATATTTTCCACTTTCACTTCATCTTGGAAGCAGGTGAATAGAGAAAGCTTCTACTCCTGGGAACAAGTTCTTTCATTTTCAGACTCACCATTTAGATATATATCTCAAATTTATTCTAAAAGCTTACTGCAATATCCTATCCCACTGCTACTTACATTTCCAGAGTTTATTTCTCTCTTCTCATCAGTTACTTACCACTCTCTACACAGACAGGATTTTTCATTTCATTTTGGAAAAATGGTTCCCAATTCCATTATATTTTTCCTTATCCTAAAGTCAATCGAGAAACTAGAATAATGTTGATACATCTATTTTAACATTCGATTTTGTGGACTGTTGTACCTGACGCATCGCTGTGGCAGGACAGCTCCTTGAAATTCTCATGTGGTAGTAGCTTTTTCTCGTTACTAATTTGAAAGCTGTGATATGTCACTAGTAGAGAAAAATGACACAGTTAATGCTGAATTGTTCCCTTAAAATAAATAACTGTCTTCAGTTCTGTGTTCACAACAAAATGTGGACAATTATCATGCTGTTTTCTTACTACATATATTTCCCTCCACATACAGAGGCACTGAGATTCACTTCATCAAAGAAAGAGGTAATTTACATTTTGTGGCTTTCCCCATTTATAATGAATTAACTTTATTTCAGATCCAGAATATGTTTGCATTCCCTCCTATGCCAAGTCTAACCATCTAAACTTTCTTCCACAAAGCAAATTGTTGTCTTTGGTTCTGGTGACTCATCCAAGCTCCAAGTTAACATCTCACAGAGAAGGTTAAACTAATGACAGGGGGTACAAAAGAATGAACTCAGGACCACCAAGGAGATGGAAAATATGTATCATGAAATGTGTTAGAGATAACTTAAATTTGGCAATGGTTTTGGATTGGAGTTTCTGCCTTGGAGAATAGCTTATAACTTGAGGATAAATAGGGAGAAAAGTGAAATAAAAATGGTCCCATAAATCTGGTCAAAAACCCAGGGGAGAACATAAGCTCTAGTTGGGCCTACGAACACTGTTGATTAACTGAATTGGCACAGTTTCAATTAAAGTAATCAATATCAAAAAATAATGTATCTAAATAAAACAGAAAAGAAAGAAAAGACTCAGTGCAGGAGAAGAGATGTGACATGTAACAAGAGTTTACCCCTAACATCTTCCACTGAGAAAGAGAGTGAATTTGACCTTCAGAACCCACCAACACATCTGGTGATGAAACAGACACTGAGAAACAGGATGGAGGCCCCAGCCACAGTCCATGAGAATGCTTGAGAATTTTTGGAGCACACTTTCTCTGTTGGAAGAAAAATATAAAACACGGTCCATCTTCCCAAAGCAAGATCCAAGAGATTTCAATTGCCTGTATTTAGCTATCCCCAAACTTTTCCATGCATCCACATTGCATGGAGACTGGTGGGCCTCATCCCTAGAATTAACAATTCGGGGAAGTTGTGTGGGACTCGTCTGTATAAAGATACTGTCCGTCTGAAAATCACAGTTTAAGAACCACCAGGGTAGTCCACGGCTGAATGTAAGACCCTGACTCATGAATACGGTTTCCTACCTAAGTCTCTCAGTTAAAAATATATTTTGGGGGCAGGAGAGTTGGATCAGTGGTTAAGAGAACTGGCTGCTCTTGCAGAGGACGGGGTTTGATTCCCAGCACCTACATGATGACTAACAACCATCTGTAGCTCCAGTTCCAGGGGATCCAGCACCTTCTTCTGACCTCCATGGGTGTTGTATGACATGGATGCACTTATATACATGCAGACAATACACTCATGCACATAAATAAAAATATTTTAAAAAGATACTTTTGCACTTTAAGGCCTTCCCCCATTCTTTCTCATTTTGTAACCATTCTTTCCCGTCCAAGTCTTATATCGCAAGTTCCTTTGTGAATTAAATAAAACATTGACAATCATGTAGTAAATACTGCCTCTTCCCCAGGATGCATTTTACAGACAAGTAAAGTGAGTTACACAGAAAGTAGGGCTTCAGTGCATGACAGAAAGGTAAGAGACAGCAAACTGTCAGCTCTGCCTGAAAACATGTCAGCACGCTTTCCGAGAAGCCTGCCAATCGTTCTTCTCTTTCTTATTCTTTTCACTGCACTGAATATTTTCTCACCATCCAGCCCTCACCACGTCGCTCACCTGATTAGAGAATTATGGAAGGCGAGGAAAAGTTGTAAACTGTACCTGTGCCTGGTGCCGCAGAAGAGTTGAATGAATTCATTCTTTTTCGCCCCCCTTTCTCTCCCTGTCTTCTTTTCTCAGTTTCTGGACCTAGGAGTATTTAGTTGATGAGATTCCATGGAAAGTGCTTCTTAAAAGGTAGACATTTCACTGACTTTTAGAAAGTTCGCCTGGAATAGACACAGACTATGAGCTTGTTCTGCAGATGTGTAGTTAAGTCAGCATTTCCTTTCTTGCGTAAGGAAGACAGGGAAGTTCACTGAGCAACATCCACGTCTCACTCCACAAAAAGAGGAAACGGTGCAGCGATAAGCATCAAAGCAAACGGCTGCATTACAGGAAAACAAGACAATAAATATTGTGTTCTATTTTTGTGGATAAATGTCTTTCTTTTTTCAAGATACTCAGTCCCAATTCCCTTTGGCATTGTGGGGCTCAGCACTAGAATCTCAATGCCACTTTTTATCTGTATCACAATCACACTGATTCACAGGAAGGAAGCAGAGACTAGGCATTCTTATAACACATAGCACAGAGCTGGTCGTAGAGGACGCACATTTATGACAGCAATGAATGAGAAATTATTTTCATCTTTCTCTTCCTCCTGCTTTAGCAGCTCTTGAACAGTACTGTTGTAGACTTAAATCCTTCTATCAAGCTGTTAACCACTGGGTTGTCTCATAGGTCTGCCTCAGCTGGATAGTCCTGCTATCAGCTGGATGTCTACTTTGAAACTTGTTTCCGTTTCTTCACAGAAGGTGCTTTAATTCGATTTTGATTTATTTAGAATACTAGCTCTCTATTGCAGCCTGCATGAGGAGAAATGAATTTGAATGTCAGAAGAAGTCATTTTAATTATACATTAGAATGCAGTGCTTCTCTGGAATGCTAGTTTGATAAGGGACATCTTTCTTCATGATACTAAAGAGACACCAATATTAGGTGTCTTAAGTCCACAAGTTTCAGGAGGCAGAAGTATGACACCCGTTACTGGGTACTCCCCACCTTTGATGAGTCAGACTTCCCATGTGCTACAAGAGATCTTTGGTCCTAAGAAAACTTTTTGTTGTTTCAATAGATTGGAAAATTTCTCTGTATTTTTTATTTTACAGTAATATATTCATCTGAATACTCACACAGGAAACACATGTCAAAAGGACAGTTCCTTTCCTCTCTCTACATATGTTAGTGAACTGCTTTGTAAAATTTGAAAAGAGGTCTTTAGATTGATGAAGAGAAACTTAGCGCCAAGAATTTTAATAATGAAAACAACTCTGGGGGTTGGCAGTACACACTTTTAATCCTTGCACTGGGGAGGCAGAGGCAGGTGGATCTCTGTGAGATCAAGGCTGGACTGGTCTACATATTAAGTTCTAGGCCAGCTGTGGCTACATACAGACCCTGTGTCAGAAACAAACAAACAAACAAACAGCAGCAGAAAAACAAAAACAGTAATATAGATTTATTGAAGTATTTTAAAATTGTATTTGTAAGTTGCTATGGTTTAGTTGCATTTTTCCCCAGACTCCATATGTAAAATTTGGTCCCCAGGGAGGTGGTATTGGGAAGTTTGGACTTTTAAGAGGTGGAGCCTTGTGAGAGGTTCTTAGCTTCATTGGGCACATGGCTTTGAAGGACGTTAAGGTATCTCAGTCTCTCTGCTTCCTGCCTCCTATGATGGTGTCATTCTTACCTAAGACTCAAACCATAGAGCTGCCCAATCTTTGACTTGAAACTTTAGACAAGCAAACCAAAAGAAACCTCTCTGCCCTTTATAAATGGCCCAAGTCAGACATTTCATTATAGTGATGGAAAGGTAAGTAACATTTATACATTATACATATTACATTATGCACATGAATATTGGTAGTAAATAGCTTTTTATAATTTTATTTATTATTTTCCTTTTATATGTATGAATGTATTACTTGTATGTATGTAGGTGTACCTGTGTCATGCAATGCCTGCAGAGGTCAGAAGAGGGCATCAGATTTCCTGGAACTGGAGTTCCTTAGCCAGTTTTTAGCCACCACGTGGGTGCTGGGAGTTGGACTCGGTCATCTGCAAGAGCAGCCAGGGGTCTTAACCCCTGAGCCATGTCTCCAGCCTCAGTAAGTAGCTTTTAGCCAGTAGAAAAATTATTAAATGATGAATCAAAAATTATCATAGTAAATTTTTATAAATCATGATCAATTAGTAATAATAAATATTAATAATCATGTAAATGATTATATTATTGTTTATCAATATGCAATTAACTAAATACTGCTAAATTAGTATTTTGCTAGTCATAATATATATTTATGCTTTGATGTATCTTTCTTTTCTGTAACTGTTAATTATACATAATAACAGGCTTCATTATATTTTCATTCATGTATATAATACTTTCTTACCATACTCACTACCATTACCCCATTTTGTTCCCTTTCCATTCCCACTGATTCCCCATCTTCCTACCAATCTTTTTTCTATGGGTGCTTTTTTTGTTTTGGTGACTCTTTACATTTTATTAGGATTTCCTACAGGATGCAGGTGAAAGATTACTTACAAGAACATGGGCTCTCTACTAGTGAACAAAGAAAGTGTCTCTCCCTCCTCAGCGACCATTAACTGCTCATAGATACTAAGGAAGGTGTGGCTGCTTATGAGCTTATTTCCTACAAATCCTTGGTGAGAGGTGGGCATACAGATAGGCCTGATTTTGTGCAGGTCTCGTGCTGGTAAACATAACTGCTGTGAGATCAAGAACGCAGAGGTGACACCATCCTCAGTAGATAGAGCGCCGCATCACTCCACCACTTCTAGCTCTTGAATTCTTTCCTCATCCTCTTCCATGTTGTTCCCTGAGCTTTTGGGGGGAGGGGTGACCTATGTGTCCTATTCCTGGCTGAGCACTCAGCAGTCCCTTGTTCTCAATACTTTGGTCAGTTATGAGTTCTTGTAGTCACTGCTGCTTACCGTGAAAGGGAGCTTCTCTGACCAAAGCTGATGGCAGCACTAGTCTATGGGTATAAATGCAATTATTTAGAAGGCAATATGATGGGTATATCATGACAATTTAACCGAAGTCGATTCCTCACTATGGATCTATGACTGCTGCTTTTGACCAGGCTTACATTAATCAGACATGACTTCTGTCCTATGGAGCAGGCCTTAAATCCAATCAGAAAGTGATTGCGTATCCCCATTGCTAACTTGCCACTATCATACCCAGTGGCACTTCTTGCCTAGTCAGGTGGTAGGGTAACAAGGACAGTTCACAGCTGAGTAAGATCTTTGATGATGACGATTCTCTCCTACCATCCTATACAACCCTGTCTATGAACAGAGAAGAAGATTCCAGCTTAGTTCCACTTCATTTCCCTATGTTTCAAAGTCAAAGTGCATTGCGTCTTCAGCAATAGGACATCGCCATTTATTTCTACTGAGCAACTATCTGACATAGCAAATGGCTGTACTGTTTGGGAGCTTTGGATTTCCTTGACTCATAGGGAGATAGCTCACCTCTGGCTAAGATTTTCACGCAATAAGCCATGGCTCCTTGGAGTAATTTTATCCTCCCATGTAGGATATTTCCACTTAAATTCTTATAAAATTTTTTAGGTAGTTACCCATTATCCAGTTTCCTTATGCATTTTGTTATATACCCTTAGTTTGGATATGTCATAACCCTCCCCAACCCTTCTCTTTGCTATTTCCTTGCTTCCTCCTCTTCTTAAAACTTCACCCCCAGTATCCCCCCTCCACTTTCATATTACACGTGTTTTACTATCCCTATCACAGGCTCTTCCTTCACCCCATGGGCCACTTTATATTCTCCCAGTCCCCACCTCTTATTAATGCATACATATAAAAATTAGCAGCTAGGATCCACATATGAGAGGGACCATGCAACGTTTCTCTTTCTGACCCTGGGCTACTTCAATTAATTTTTTTTCTAACTATTTTTCTGCAAATTCTAACATTTCATATTTCTTTTCAGCTGAATAAAATTCCAGCGTTTATTGTCAGGAGCCATGCTTGACATAAGCATTGGAAAAAAGTAGAGTGCCACTTTAAGAGCTTCTGAGCTCTTTGCTTCAGTGGTTTGAGCTGACAGGCTGTGCCTCCATGATAAATCAGGTCTTCTAGAAAGTTAGTTTCGGTTAGGTCTGAGGGCACCGGAAGATTCAGCTACGTGCTGTATCCATAGTACCTTTTTTGTTTCTGTTAGGAATAATCACCTGGGCAACCCAAACTCCGGGCTGTATAAAAGGGACCTGTGGGACCCCTCAGTAGATTCTTCCTACTGGAGAGCTCTCTCCTACCTGTAGCTGCCTTTCTGTAAATAAAGTCTTAGAAAACTTCAGACTACTGTCTGAGTATCTTTCTTGTTGAAGAGCCAAGCCTGGTGGGCTTGGGGGGCTTTCGACACTTTGTGGTTCTCTTCTCCTTTTCTTCGTCTTATGTATGTTTGGTACATGCAAGGATAACAGACTTTCTGTTAGTAAAATATCCTTGGTGATTCCTTGGTTACCCCAAATCTGATTCCTATATAAGATCTGTGTTCCTCACAAAAAAAGCCATTCTGTGATTGCTCACCTGACTGCTAAGAATTAAACTTTTAATAAAAATCAAGACCTTTGTCTTGACTTCTTTTGTTGAAGACCCAAGCCTGATAGGCTTGGGGGGCGTTTGACAGTTTATATGTACTACATTTATTTATTCATCTGTTGATAGACATATAGACTGATTCCATTTCCTTGCTACTATGAATACAGCAGAAATAAGCATGAACATGGATATATCTCTACAGTAAGATATAGAGTCCTTTTACTGTGGGATTTGGTCAAAGAATCAAGAAGACAAAATCTTTGAGTTCAGTAGAAAACAGCTTTACTAACTGGCCAGAACGCAGATGGAGTTATCTTTTAACAAAAAGGAAGCCTGGATCCTGGCTGAGGGATTGCATGCCATTTTATAGTGAAGGAAAGCATCAGCAGTTAAGTTCTCAACAGTATGTAATTGACCGTATATGATAATGGCTTCAGTTGCCAATGACACAACCATAAGAGGGAACATCAATATGGGAATTTCCTTAATCAAAGTACAGTATTTTACTGTAAAAAGTCTCCAGTCTGGGGCTGGAGAGATGACTCAGTGGTTAAGAGCATTGACTGCTCTTGCAGAGGACCAGGATTCAATTCCCAGCACCTACATGGCAGCTACCA